CTCAGCACAACCTTCTGAGTCAGGTTTTGCTTTATCCTATCATTCAGAGGGAAACGTTGCCCAGTGTCAAGGTGACTTGGCCAAATGTCTCACGGCCAGTAGGGATACAGGGAGAATTTGAACTCGGGCAGATGGAATCCCAACAAAGATGGACTCTATAGCTCCTCAAAGGAGGGAGTGATGCGTCGCGGGGTAGCGTGTCTTGCTGTGACCCAGCCCTGTGAAGACTGAGGCAGGGTAGGGGCAGGGTCTGTGTGTCACCCACACATTGCGGTGCAAGCTCTCGATGTAGGGCACCTGCTTCTCCTGCGGGACAGGGCGTCGGCCAGACAACCGCCTTCCTTTCGGGGTGGTCACCAAGTCCTGGTCACCAAGTCCTCCGCACTTAGTGGGAGGAAGTGCAGAGGAAGCCCAGCCCCAGAGCCACCTGCGGGAATGGCAGGTCCTTGCAGGTTACGCAACCCAAGTAGGAGCTGTGGACTTGGAAAGAGCAGCCGGGCCAGCGCGCCAGAGTCCTCTGGCACGTGCTGGAAGCGCTGCGATCCTGGGAGCCCGGTGTTCCTCTCTGAGCCTCAGTCTCCTCCTCTGTAAATGGGGAGCCCCCAGAGATGCCCGCCGAGCCTCACCGTGGCACCGACGCATGGAGTCCCTGAGTGTGCAAGCCGGCAGCCACGTGTAGACCTGGCCGGCTGATCCGGACAGGAGACCCAGCCCCACCGCCGGACCAGCTTTTCCTGCCAGGCCTCAGGAAATACCAGACGCCCCCGCCCCCGCGTCATCAGCTCGGAGCTAGCTTCAGAACCCGGCTCGGCCGGCCCTCCCCCTCCTTCCGGCCACAGGCCTCGCTCCTAATTCGCCCACTGGGAGTGCGGGCCCTCTGGGCGGGACCTTCGGGAATCTCCCGCTGCAACCGGAGCCTTCTGGATTCATTTGCGCCTCCCCTCCCTCTTACCACTTCGTTCCAGCTTCTCATCCTGAGCTACAGACATTTTAAATCTAGATCGGAAGAGCAAGGCGTTAACCAAGGCCAAATGGTTGAGCCAACAATTCATCCCTTCAGCAAGCGTTTATCGAGCACTTACTGTGTAGCAAGCCCTGTGCCAGGTCTTGGGCAGGAGGCAAGTTAAGTCTATGTGGGTTTGGTTTGCAAGAGAGGGGATGGGGGTGGTGAAGGATTAAGTACCAGGGTCAGAGCTACAGGGAAGAGCACCACCAGGGGTGCCGCAGAGGTTGGCCAGACTCGGGGAAGTGGTCAGCGCCTCCCTGCCTGAGCAGAGGGCCTGGGAACCGCTGGTGAAGGGTCACTTGAGCAGAGAGATGGTGGAAAGGAGTCCAGATTGGGAGAGCAGGCGGAGGCGGGCAGATGTAGGGAGGTGATTCCTGAGCCCAGCGGGGATGGGATCTAATGGCTTGCCCTAGGTCACACAGAGTGATGCTGGAATTTGACTTCACGGTACAGGAACAGGAATCTGGCTTTTTTTTTTTTTTTCTGTACCGGAGATCGAACTCCGGTCCTTGCGCGTGTGCAGCAGGCTGTGAAACCACTAGACCATTGAGCTAAATCCCTGGCCCAGGAATCTGGCTTTTGGAAGCAGCTCTGCTGGAGCTGGACGTGGTGGCGCACGCCCCGTAATCCCAGCACTTGGAATGCTGAGGCAGGAGAATCACGAAAGTTTAAGGCCAGCCTGGACTACACAGCGAGAGCCTATCTCAAAAAAACCAAACTAGAACAAAACAAAACAGCCCCACCAGGCACCAGGAATAGCTCTGGCCTCCCCTAGGCAGTCTAGTCAGGCTGCAGCTTCCAGGCAGGCATAGGACAGGGGCAGCTAGCCATGTTGGTGGGAGACCCTGCCCTGGGAGAGGTGGCAGCAGCGGAAGTTCCCGTGGGTGGTGAGACTGTGGTGGCCCTGATGTGGTTTCCTGCGGGCCCCTGTGGTTCCACTGTGGGCATTATGCCTGCCTCCTGTGGCTTCTTCCTGTATAGAGAGCTCTTGTTGGCACATGCTGTGCTTCCTGGGCCTGGGAGCCCAGGTGGGACCCTGAGGAAACTGAAGAGTGGGACAGTGAGTTGTCCAAGTTACACACTGGACTTTGCCTGCTCAGTGCTTGGGCTGTGTGCCTTGTTAAATCGTGCTCCATTCATTCTTTCACTCATTGTAACAGATTCACAGGCCCTCATGCCCCACCCCCACCCGGCCAGTAACCACTCCTTTGCACGCTGGCCTAAGGCTTCCGGCTAGGCACACCCAATGACTGGGGCCCTGGCCCTGAAGGCTGACAGTGCTAGAGTGCTTCCCTGTCCCCCAGCAGCCCTGTTATGGGGTTATGGGGTACTGGAGTGTCCTTCTGGAGGTGGTTTCAAGGTTCAGTCTGTCCTGAGCAAAGAACTGGCCAAGACAAGCACAAACAGTAGCAAAGTTTTATTAAAGGTAGGGAAAGAAACAGGCTCTACAGAGCAAGTTTGGGCTAAGTGAAAGTAGGAAAAGAAGTACGCTCTACAGTGTGAGGGTGGGTCACCATAGAAGAGAAAATGCCGTGGCGAAAATTCAATGTGGACTGTCCCACTACAGGCTGACGTCAGGTCTAGGCCATCCTATCTAAAATGAGTTCTTGGGTAAAGTCCATGTGCAGGGCTTTGGGAACTATTCTTCACATGTCTCCTGGGATTTTACAATTAATAGGTCACGCCTGCTTCTCCAACCAGCTTTGCTATCCCCTAACCTCCTGTCTCAGCCCTGCTTAGAGTGACCTGATAATAACCCAGTCCCTTGGTTCCTCAGACTCCTGTTCCCTGCAGCTCCCATGGGATAAGATAATCTCTGAGGTTCAAGTTCCATATAACCCCAAGGTTCCATCCACCATGCTGAGCGCCAGGTGCCCACAGCGATGTGTGCTTAGTCACATACTCTTCTGTGCTTCAGCTCTCCCCTCAGCATCATTCCTGACATCACATCCAAGCAAAACTCCACAGGGGCCTGGGGATTTAGCTCAGTGGTTCTGGTGCCTGCCTTGCAAGCTCACGGTCCTGAGTTCGATCCCCAGTACCAAAGAAAAAAAACAAACAAAAAAAACCTCCACAGGAATCCTCATTCTAGGCTGGGCTTCAGGGGGCACCCAGTGAGGACAGTCATCCATCCAGTTACTCTGCACACGTGACACACTCCTGCTCTGAGCCACCTACTCTGTGCCCTGGGGAGTTGGGCATGATTCATAAGTATTCTTTGGTCTCTGGGTGCTTTATAAATGGGGAAACTAGCTGGGTGTGTTGGCAAACAGCTGTAATCCCACCACTCAGGAGGCTGAGGCAAGAGGATTGAAGCAAGTTCAAGACCAGCCTGAACTACAGAGACCCTGTCTCAAAAAAACAAAAAGGGGTGGTTGAGGTACATATGGGAACTTAGTCATGATCCCATATATTGGAAATACAGGCACAGGAATTGTTGCAGAATTCCAAGAGACAGGAGAGAGCAAAAGGGAGTCGGGGATTTATTTAAGGTATATATACTGGCTCAGTGGACCCTGTGTCTAAAATGGCTGAGTGTTGAACAAAGAGAAGTTTTAGCTTTCATACATTTTGTTGAAGAAGGTGGTTTTTCTAGTGATGTGGCAAGTGAGTTTACCGGAACAGTACAAAGCCAGACAGTTTTGTAACTTTACCTTGAAAGAAGACAGGGTCTTATGAATCATATGAGAACAGAATATCATAACTTTGGTTACAGGACATAGGTGTTAAATTTTATCTGTACCAGAACAAAGAGTTATAGTTACAGGGAAGAGGGGGCGTGCAGGAGGCTGCCCAAGGCTGGGAAGGACTTGTTTTTCTTTAAGTCCTGCTTCATTCTCCCTTTTGATGCTCTTTATAACAAGTTTTACTAGAAATCATCATCATCATCATTATTATTATTATCAATTTTTGTCATAAGGGGGTGCTTGCTGAAGGCCATCAGTCGAGTGATGTTGTCCCTGTTTGAGAGTCTTTATGGCTGACTGAATGTTTCTGAGAAGTAGGAGTGAAAGGCGAGGGAGAATTATAGCAAAGAGGTTAAGAAACTTACATTGTTGTGACTCTATGTTGATCTTCAAGCTTTTACCGTGGTTAGACTGGTCAGCTTCTGGAGTGACCCGAGCAGGGCTGTCATCTCTGGTGGCAGCCTGATTTTGTCACAGGTTCAAGAAGTCTGGATCCTTTTGGCTGGTCTACTTGTCTTGAGCAGTTGGCTTTAGCGGGCTGTGGTGGATCTGAGACACAGTTCCTGTACTTTTAACAGCAGTGGAGGTAGAGAGGATTACAGTACAAGGCCCATGCCATGTGGGCCCTAGGGTTGTTAATTTTGTTTTTTAAAAACTTTTTGACTCAAACAAAGTCCCCTGGTTTGAATGGGTATAGTGGGTCTGTTAAGCTTATGGGCACTTTTTCTTGTACCCAGCTATGGCTATCTTGCAGGGCTATTTCCAAAGGCTGTATTTGTTTTCTCGGGGACAATATTACTAGTTTATAAAAATTACCCTTAATTTGACCTATAATTGGGGGGGGCCAGCTGAGCTAAATTTCATAATGGGAATACCCAATTTGTTTGTTTGGGGTGTACTGGCTTTGGAGGAAAACCATGGGCAGGACTTGATCTCATCTCAAGTGGAGTTTTTTGACAATTTTTTTTTTTAATAACTGTTTGAGTGGGGCCGGGTATTTAGCTCAGTGGTTCTAGCACCTGCCTCGAAAATGCAAGGTCCCGAGTTTGATCCCCAGTACCAAATAATAATAATAATAATAATTGTTTGAGTGTCCAGTTCATGTGTTTTATTTTTCCTGAGCATTGTGGCCAGTAAGCCGTGTTAAGCTTTCATTTTATCTTTAACATCTGTGTGAGCTCTTGGACTATCTTGGCTACAAATGCTGATCCATGGTGTGGCTCTCAAGGTCAAAAGCAGTGTAAATCTTGAGGTAATGTCTTTTAACAGTACCTTGGTCACCTCTTGTGTCCTTTTTGTTCAGGTGGAGAAGGCTTCCATCTATTTTCAGCAGGTGTTGGAAAACCAACATATATTGATAGCCACCGGCTCAAGGCAATTTAGTAAAGTCCGTAAGTAGGTTTTTACATGAGACAGCTCTCGTTTCCTGGATACTTGGGGGCCTGGGCTTTATCTTGGGTTGTTTTGGGCATGGGTTAGGCATTATGCACAAACAGCCCAAGTGATGGCAGTGAGCAATGACACATAGAAATGGTGCCCTATCAGAGGGCAATCAATCCTCCCATTGCCTAGAAAGGGAGATGGGAAGGGCTAAAGAAAGACAACAAAGATTTGCATAATTTTAAAGTACACAGGGGGCCAGGAGGTCAGTGCCTCAGAGTGGGCAAAGACAAAAAACATTCTGAACAAGCCATTATTTATTGGGTACACATAATAATCGGAGGGAGTATCAGGTGACTTAGGGGGTGGTGGTAATCCTATGTGTTTTGTTTTTTGGGGGGATCAAACTCAGGACCTTGCACTTTTGAGGCAGGCAGCAGAACCACTGAGCTAAATCCCCGGTCCAGTAATCCTGTGTTGATGAAGATCTTCTGTTGATGAGGTTGGTAAGGACAGTATTCTTACAATAGTAGATGGGACAAGATAGTAGGCTAATAAAGAAGTTGTCCTTCCCCCAGGTGAAGCCTTTCTTTTTTTATTACTACAGAACCAGGATGTCTTCAGCTGATGTAATCTTTCCCTTGAACTTCACAGTATCACAGGACCATTGAGGCCTCTACTTGTGACTGGAGACAAACGGAGTTATGTTTTCACATGCCATAGCTGGCTCACAGGCAAGGTGACTTTGGGCCTTAGACAGCTATAGCCATATTTTAATTATGAAATTACCCCCCCCCCAAATTTATGTAGAATGGCTCTTGACAGAGGCCTAATAATGTTTTTAGTGTTGTCTTTTCCACATGAGACCCCTGATGGAATTGTTTTATGAACTTGAGGCCCAGCTTTTGGGGATGGCTAGCTTCTCATTAGCAAATTTCTATCATTTTAAAATATATTTTCTAGTTTCTGGGGCAAGTCAGGCTCTTTTATCTGAGGAGTAGCTCGGGGTCTCTGGCAGAGGAGGCTCTGAGATGGGGGGCATGGCCAGGGCTCCTCCTTTGGGTTGGGGGGCTGCCATAGCAGTCCCCCCTTTTTTCTCTGCTTTTTGGTTTCTTCTGGCTTTTAATGTTTCAGTACATTGATGTCCTCTGTAGTATATAATGGCCACCTTTTTGGGGCCCCACATTGTATCTTCATACTATAAATATATACCATATATATATGGCAGTTAAGAGTCTTCTTTTTTTATATATGGCCCCATGTACATGTAATGTTGTAAAGGCATATCTGGAATACATATAGATGTTAGCTTTTTGTCCTTTGTACTTTGTCTTCGGGGGTGAGATTTTGGTGAGCAGAGGTTGGATCTCTATCACAGAGCCTAATGTCATCATCACATATCTTGTCTTTTGGGCCCCTTTTAGCAAATTTTGGGTCTCCAAGAGGGCAATCTATGAGATATCCCCAGCTTGAGAATACTTTGTCCATGATTTTACATAGTCATGAAGAGGGGCTTGTGGCTCAACTGGGAGCAGAGTAGCTGGATTAAGAATGTTCATAGTTTTTAAAGTTATGCAGGAATTTTTTTTTCCCATTAAGTTTATTGGTACATTTTTGGTATAAAATACAGTCACATTCATCATTGGGATCTTGTACCTTTACATGAGTATCTTGGTTCTTATTTTTTTTCCTTTCCCTTGCCCTCCCTTCACCCCCCTCCACCC